CACGTGTGCTCCTTCTCTGCCAAAACATTTCCTTAGACTTGATCCATGTCTGTGCCACACGTGTGCTCCACTGTGCCTGTGTGTCCATAGCACATCCTATGCCTGCGTGGTGCCACTGCATCCCCAAAGGTCCCTGCTACTGCCCCCAGTGGGGATGGTGGAGGAAAGCACAGTGGGGACGGAGTGTGGTACCTGAAGTGCGTAGGGACAGCCAGCTGGAAGTGTTGGGGACCACATGTGACATCCCATGGGGGACACCCCTTTGGAGCCATGTCCTGTGTTTGGGATTCCATGGGGGGAAAAGTGCAGGACCACGTGCTGGCAGAACTCTGTGTGTGACACCCAAGCCCGGACAAACTGCAAAGGACAAACCAGCAGCGACAATTTGCACTGCTCCATGTGTACAACATTTCTGGGGACCCCAACGTGCCACTTCCCGTTTGGGCTATGATTGCCACATCAGTTGGCAACATCACACCATCCTGTCCAAAAGAGGAACTGGCAGCAGCACAACGCCACTCCCTGTCCCCTCTGCAGTCTCACTGTCTCCAAGCTGCTCCTGCCTCATGGAACCAATGGCGCTGGCCCTCATCCTGGGTGAGTGACAATGGGGATGTGGTACCATGGGGGTTGGAGGCCCTGTGTGGAGCCAGGACCGTGTCCCTTGCAGGTTGGTGGCTGGTGGCAGCGAGCAGGGCCCAGCACCGTGAGTTTGGGGAACAGGGGGAGAATGGGGTGAAAGGGAGGAGAGCGTGGTCATGGGGCCATGAGAGGGGCAGAGGAAGGTGTGCAGGGACAAGGCTGACTGCTGTCCCCTGTCCTAGTGCCCAGACCCTCCCTGTCGCGGCACCCCAGCCAGGGGGTGTCCCTGGGTGACACTGTCACCCTGCACTGCCACCTGCCCCAGTCGGCTGCCTGGGTCTGGCTGTACAAAAAAGGACGTCGGACATACAGCAATTACAAGAACAAGGTGCAGGACACTGCAGAGTTCTCCTTCATGAGTACAAATCGGGAGCATGCAGGTATATACTGGTGTCAGTACCAGGTGCCTTGGTCATCAGAGGAATCAAAGAGTGATCCTGTGGAGCTGGTGCTGACAGGTGAGGGCACTGGGGACAGCAGATGGCTCTGCTTGCTCCCAACAGGACCGTGTCCCACTGCTGTCCCTTCCCTCATGCAGATCGCAGATTCCCCCCACCCAGCATTTCCCTGAGCCCTGAGGAATGTGTGGAGACAGGGACCAATGTCACCATCCAGTGCTGGAACAAGAAGTATGGGGCCGCCTTCCTCCTGCACAAGGATGGGTGCTCAGCCCCCACCCAACGCCAGGACCCCGATGTGGTGGGTACAGCCACCTTCACCATGATTGGGGTGACCCCAGCTGACAGTGGCACCTATAGGTGCTCCTACCGCCCCAAGGGTTACCCCTTTCTGTCCTCACCCCTTGGGAGTAATGTGACTCTGGAGGTGACACCCACACCTGCACACCCGGGTGGGTCTCAACCCCATTTGAATACCCCTGGTGCCACACATCTGTGGCTGTGTCACCTCCTGTCCCTGTAGAGGTGGTGGTTGAGGATGTGATAACCCAAACACCCGGACCCCACAGGTGCTGCAGACAGTTCCCATGGGAACCTGGTGGTGGCAGTGGCTGGGGGCTGCACTGCTGCCTTTGTCTTCATCCTCGTCCTTGCCATCTTCTTCCTCCTTG